CATTTTAATTATGATGTGTCTTGGTGAGGGGCTTTTTGGGTTCATCTTATTTGGGAATCTCTGTGCTTCCTGGGCTTGTGTGTCTTTTTCCTTCACCTTGTTAGGGTCATTTTCAGTCATTATTTCTTCAAAACAGTTTCTCAATCCTTTGTTCGCTCTCTTCTCCTTCTTGTACTTTTGTGCGTATATATTGTTACTCTTCATGTTGTACCAAAGTTCCCTTAAACATCCTTATATTTTTAAAATTCTTTTTTCTTTTTGCAGCTCTGATTGGATGTTTTTTCTACCTTGTCTTCCAAATCACTGATTGAATTATCTGCTTCATCCAATCACTGTTTATTCCCTCTAGTACAGGGGTCCTCAAACTTTTTAAACAGGGGGCCAGTTCACTGTCCCTCAGACCGTTGGAAGGCCGGACTATAGTTTAAAAAAAACTATGAACAAATTCCTATGCACACTGCACATACCTTATTTTGAAGTAAAAAAACAAAACGGGAACAAATACAATATTTGTATTTGTATGTGGCCCGCGGGCCGTAGTTTGAGGACCCCTGCTCTAGTGTATTCTTTATTTCAGATATTTTTGACTGGTTCTTTTTTTATGGTTTCTATATCCCTTTTTTTGTTTACTATCTCTTTGGTTATGTTCTCATTGATTTCATCCATTCTTCCCCTGAGACTTGAGCATCCTTATAAGCATTCTTTTGAACTCTATATCTGGTAAACTTGCCTCCATTTCATTTAGCTCTTTTTCTAGAGTTTTCTCCTATTCTTTCATTTGGTGCATGTTTCTTTGTCTCACCATTTTGGCTGCCTCTGTGTTTGTTTCTATGAGTTAGTTTTATCTGCTATGATTCTCAGTCTAGGTAGAGTGGCCTTATCTGTAGTCTGTGGCTCAGTGTCCTTGACCACCTGTGTTGGGTGCTTTAGAAATGTCCTTTATGTTAGTTATGTGGGTCCTCCGTTTGAATCTTGATTGCTATTTACCCATACATGTATGGAATCAACCCTCAGGCTGGATGAATGTGAGGATAAACCCCAACCACAATATTCTAGCTGCTGTGCAGGTGCTGACCACATAGGGAGGAAGTTGCCTTAGCAAGGTGTGGTACCTGCTGATATATCTCTTTGGATATGTTGATTGTAAAGCTAAACTGAATACTGCTCTTTGTTGCCTGAAGCTGGCCACTGGGTGTGTTGATTCTGGGGCCTCTTGGGAATGATTCTGATGCAAGTCAATGTCAGACTCTGCCTGTGACTGACCCTGTTTGGAGCTACAAAGTGATCCACAGTTTGTGACTGCCTCTTCTGGGCCTGTGTGTGTGTGGGAAGGGTCAAGCTGTGCATCAATGTTTGCTTTACCAGCACTGGACCTGGGGGCAGGTGAGCAAAAGTTCCTAGGAGCCCCTAGGTCCACTTCTGTCTGCCCCCACCTGCAAGCTGCCTATTAGGCTCAGCCACTGAAGGAAACTCTGGCAGTACTTAAATTGCATGCAATAGGTTCTGTGAGTTACTAGGTAGGAGTGAGAGTGTTCTCCAGATCTATATGGGCTCAGCCTTGGTGCCAGAACTGGGTCTGAGGTCCCTTAGCAAATGTCCTAGGGTTTACCAAGTCTAGTGGGTGCTTGCACACCTTTGTGTGGGTCGGAGTTTCAGAGAGTAGTCAGGATGAGGCCAGCAAAGTTTATCAGGCCTAACCAGACCAAAATTTGTCCATGTGAAAGGAAGACTCTCTACTGATCAGGTGTGAGATAAAAAAAATATCCTCTGTTCTAAGGCCACACAACATAGTCTGTCCCAGATTCTGCCAGGAGTCTGATCCCAGCAGGGAGGGGCCCCTGGGAGTCAGGAGAGGAGGAAGTGCTGGTCAGGTTTGGGGGATTTGGGGGGCTATGGCTTCCATCCCAGAGCCACACACCTCAGACTGTCCTGGATTCTGCCCAGGGTTCAGCAGGGTGGAACCTCCAAAAGTCATGAGGTTGGGGCCCCTGGGAGCTCAGAGGTTCTACCGTGAAGAAGAGGCACCAGTCAGGTTCACAGGAAAGCCACACAACTCAGTCACTAACATCCCTTGAGTCTGCCCAGACCTCTACACCACATCCCAGGCCTCTCACTCCTCAGCAGGGCAGAAGCTCTGCAAGATGGGTCAACAGAGTGTCTGCAGGGTGGGGCTGTTGCTTTCCCCCAGGCTGATGCTGTATGGAAAGGCAAGCTCAACCCAAGAAAGATGGCATCTATGGTGTTGTAGAACGACTCAGCATAGATATCCTGGAAGTTGTTTTCTCAGCTCTCTCCCCAGAACCCCAGTTTCTTCTCATACAATCGTAGCCTGCTCTGCCCTCATTCTGTCAGATCCCAGGGTGAATGGCTGCAAACGAGATTTTATATGTTGACCCTGTAAGGGGGTTCCTATTTTTCTAGCAGACTCTTGTCTCTCTCTGGTGGAGAGAGACCCTGCTGCTTTTCACAGCCAGATGTTATGTGGGCGTCTCTTCTTGGCTCTGATGCCCTGGGCTGTGGAGCCCAGTTTGGGCATGAGACCCCACACTTCTCAGGGGGTGCCTCCAGAATCTCAACTGCTGCCTGTGGGAGCAGGGCCAGTTCTTTTTGTGTCTCCATACTTCCTACTAGTCTCAATGTGGTCTCTTTTGTAAATCCTTATTTATAAGTCTTCTTTTCAGCTAGTCTTCAGTTGGCTATCCTGGTTGATTGCTCTATATTTTAGTTGTACTTCCAGGTTGGTTCTGGGAGGAGATGAGTGCAGTTTCTACCTATTTTGCTGCCATCTTGAATCTTGTTTTCTATTTTATTAATTGCAACTTTTATCTTTATTTTCTCCATTTTACTTTCTTTGAATTTTCTTCTGTTCTATTCTAACATCTCAAGATGAATAATAGCTCATTAATTTTTGGCCTTTCTTATTTTTGGAATTTTAAAAAATTATTTGAAATTTCCCTTTAAGGAATCCTTAATCTGCATGAAATAATTTTGAGATGCTTTTGTAAAAAAAAATTATCAGTTTAAAATATATATTGTTTTTAATTTTATCTATTTTGTTTAGACATTTGCTCAGAAGATTTTTTAAAATGTCCTAACATGTGGCATTTGTGCAGTTATATTTTTTGCTATTTATTTCTGTCTTAAAAACTCTGTGGTCAAAGGATGTGGTCTGTCTGATTTTAGTCCTTTGGTTCTGTTTGTACCATGCTTTCTATCTTTGTGTATAGTCAGTTTTTGTAAATGCAACATTGGTCCTTGAAAATAATATTTTGTCTGCATTTGGGGGGAGCAGAGTTCAATGTGTGTCAAATTTGTTAATGTTGTCCCAATGTCATTTGTTAGTGTTGTTCCCAACTCATATATCCTCATATATTGTGTATCTATTGTTTTGCTTATTTGACTCATTCTTTAGGAGAGTGTGTTAAAATATCCCACCATCTATGTGGACTTCTGCCTTTTTTCTATAGTACTCTATGAGTTTTTACATTATATATTTTGAAGCTACATTGTAATATGTTATTTTTACATTATATTATAATTATATATATATATATATATATATATATATATTTAAAATTATATATTCCTGCTGAATTGAAGCTCTCATCAACTGGAGTGACTCTCTTGAATTACTGTTTCTGCTTCTGTAGGGTTTTATTGGGGAGATATTATTTTAAGATACATATTTACATACTTAACAACCTTTTAAAATAGTTCTGTGTTAGGGTTATACTCATATTTCCGATTGGCTTCAATATGAAAACCAAATATATATGCTCTGTAACTCTTGAATCTGGCATGCCAAGCTTTAAGATGTGATTAATGCAATTTTAATATTTTCCAGCGAATTTTAGTAAGTATAAGAAATATCAGAGACAGAAATGCTAGATATGTAATAAAAATTGTCAAATTTAAGTGCAGTGAAATTGGAAGTTTAAAATCTTTTTTAAAATTGTGAACACTTAATATGTTTAAGTAGGCTATGGGAATTTGGGGGGATACTGATTCTTACTGAATGAAAGTCAGCCAGTCACTTATCCTATCTAATAATAGACAAACATGATAATTGACCATACCTTTGCTACACCTCCCACTGGCTAATCAGCACAATATGCAAATTAACTGCCAACAAAGATGGCGGATAATTTGCATACTGCAGGCAGGGTGGGACAACGCCATCCAGCCTACCCTGCTGCCATCCGGGCTGGGCAGCAGTGATCAGCTGACCCCCTTGGGCGTCCCATGTGCAACCCGACCTGGGGCGGCGCCCCAATCCCCGGATTGGCCCTGTCGTGCGCACAACCCGGGGAGGCAGGGCAGGCACAGAGGGATCGGGCCTGCCATCTGCCACCTGGGGAGCAGGCCTAAGCCAGCAGGTGGTTATCTCCTGAGGGGTCCCAGACTGTGAGAGGGCACAGGTGGGGCTGAGGGACACTCCCCACACTTCCCCTCCCCCGCCAGTGCACAAATTTTTGTGCACCAGGCCTCTAGTTCTTTCATAAAATTAGTAGGCTAGATTCTTCCCACCATACAATTTTATGGTACCAAATAAAGTCTCCCTCAAAGTGAAAACAGTTCACTTTCAATAAGAGTGGGAGACTATTTGCTTGGTCATTGAAATGCTTAGGTAATGTACTCAGCTGGGTTATTCTTGTGGCTCTGCTTAGCATAGCATGGAGACTGCTGCAGAGAGATCAGAGTTGTGGGGAGCCATTGCCTAGTGGGCTGTGGATAATCTCAAGGAGAGAGTCATACATTTGAGAACTATTTGAAAAAAAATTTGTGCTATACTGTGGACATAGTAAATCAAATTAGAGTACTGTGGACTAGCAAATGAAAATGACCTACTGCAGACTCTTAGGGGCGTTGTGGTATTAGTTTAATTTTAAAGTTTTTGCCAATTGGTGGAAAAAATCTAGAAATAATATAGATTTACAAATGTGTATACATATGTGTATAATAATGAATGAAAAAGAGAGACTTCCGGGAGTTCGTAGCTAAGTACTGCAGCCGCTCGGGGCGAGGGGCTGTGCCTCCGGGACCATGTTGCTGCGGACTGCTTGGAGGCGGGTGGCTGCGGCCCTGCCAGCAGCTCAGGGGCCCAGTCTCAAGGCGCCCACTCGGGATCTGCGCCTGCGCGTTGCAGACCATGCTCCCCAGTCTGCTGTTCCCTCAGATACAGCCACTGCTCCAGAGATGGAGTCAGTGCTGCGACCTCTGTATATGGATGTGCAAGCTACAACTCCTCTGGACCCTCGGGTGCTTGATGCCATGCTCCCTTGCCTAGTCAACTACTATGGGAACCCACACTCCCGGACACATGCTTATGGCTGGGAGAGTGAGGCAGCCGTGGAACGTGCTCGCAAGCAAGTATCATCTCTCATTGGGGCCGATCCTCGTGAGATCATTTTCACTAGTGGCGCTACTGAATCCAATAACATAGCAATTAAGGGGGTGGCCAGGTTTTACAGGTCACGGAAAAAGCACTTGATCACCTCCCAGACAGAACACAAGTGTGTCTTGGACTCTTGCCGCTCACTGGAAGCTGAGGGCTTTCAGGTCACCTACCTCCCAGTGAAGAAGAGTGGGATCATTGACCTGAAGGAACTAGAGGCTGCTATCCAGCCCGATACCAGCCTGGTCTCAGTCATGTCTGTGAACAATGAGATTGGAGTGAAGCAGCCCATTTCGGAAATAGGGCGGATTTGCAGTTCCAGAAAGGTCTATTTCCATACCCATGCAGCCCAGGCTGTTGGAAAAATCCCACTTGATGTCAACGACATGAAAATTGATCTCATGAGGATCAGTGGTCACAAAATCTATGGTCCCAAAGGGGTTGGTGCCATCTACATTCGCCGCCGGCCCCGTGTGCGTGTGGAGGCCCTGCAGAGTGGAGGGGGGCAGGAGCGGGGTATGCGGTCTGGGACAGTGCCCACACCCTTGGTGGTGGGCCTGGGGGCTGCGTGTGAAGTGGCACAGCAAGAGATGGAGTATGACCACAAGCGAATTTCAAAGTTAGCAGAGCGACTGATACAGAAGATAATGAAGAGCCTTCCGGATGTGGTGATGAATGGGGACCCTCATCACCATTACCCAGGTTGTATCAACCTCTCCTTTGCCTATGTGGAAGGGGAGAGTCTACTGATGGCACTCAAGGATGTTGCCTTATCTTCGGGGAGTGCGTGCACTTCTGCATCCCTGGAGCCATCTTATGTCCTTCGAGCAATTGGCACTGATGAGGATTTAGCTCACTCTTCTATCGGGTTTGGCATTGGCCGTTTCACTACAGAGGAGGAAGAGGACTACACAGTAGAGAAGTGCATTTACCATGTGAAGCGCCTTCGAGAAATGAGCTCTCTCTGGGAGATGGTGCAGGATGGCATTGACCTTAAGAGCATCAAGTGGACCCAACACTAGAAGAGTGGGCCTCTGACTTTGTGCTGTCCTGGTTGCTCCTGCATCATCACTGCACGGCACTTCATTACACCAGTGGGTGCTTCATGTTCAAACCAGAATTGGTATAGCCCAGTTGACTTCAGCATCAGCTCACCTCCAAGGCAGAAACACAGGATCTTTCCCGGGTCTCAGCTTTTTTCGTGGGAAGCACTCCCCATTTATCTCCAGGAGTCCTTCTCTGTTCTTATGATCAGTGGATGTCTCACCCTGAAGCAGAAGGAACATTTGTTATGATCTTGCTCTATATCCTTGGTGGAGAGAGCCAGAAGAACTAAAAGGAGGCTCTTTGTTCAGGGACCCTGATGCTATACATGGATATTTGAGTTGTTGCTTACTGCTACTAGCAAGACTGATTCCTTCAGGAACAAACATAATCAACTATGATTTAATCTTTTTTTGTGGCCTCAGAGGCCACCTCTTCATATTGACTATAGATGGAACAGAAAGCTTGTCTTTCTGTTCTTATCTTCTTTTCTCTAGATCTACTGGAGCGAGAAATATCTATATGATACTACCCATTATTCTAATAATTTGTTTCTTTTTAAAAATTTGTTAATTTGCAGATTAGAGAAATAAAATCGCCTTCCTCTAAAAAAAAAAAAAAAAAAAGAGAAAGGAAGGGAGGGAAAGTAAGTGGACAGAGAGAGGAAGAAGGTGAAGAAGAGGAAGGAGAAGGAGTAGGGGGAAAGAAGGAGGGGGAGGGGGAGAGGGAAGGAAGGAGGAAGAAGGAGGAGAAGGAAGAGGATGAGGAGGAGAGGAGGAGGAGAAAGGGAGGGAGGGAGGGAGGAAAGGGAAGGAAAGAGCCAGTGAGTTTTTGAGAGAAAGAGGCTTTACTGCTGGGCCAATAATTTCTATAAAATTTATGGGAGTGTACTAATGTAAGTGTGTAGAGAACGCCTGGGAAGGCACATGAGCATTTCTTTAATTATTGTCAGCTGAATCCAGTGGCGTTGGCAGAGCCACATCCTGGAAACATTCCTTGCCAGAGGCAGGAGTGTTGTCAGCCTGACCTTCAGCCCAGGCACCAGGGGTTGGGTTTCGTTATCCAAATCCAGCCAAGCACCAGGAATGAACATGACTTGGGCCCACCCAAGAATGCACATACTCTCCTTTGTCTTGACCTTTAGTAAAACTTCCTGGTTTTTGCTGTATAAAATAAACTCGCTGTATTGGCTTTGAGTTCCTGTCTCTCCATCAGAGGACAGTGGTCCCACCCAGTCCCAGCTTTTCCTACTGTATTTGTGTCTGTCTCTTTCATTTTCTCAATCCCCGGTCACCCCTATTCAGGAACCAGACCGCTCTTTAGCCGCGCTGGACACGGAAAAGAGAGAAAAATTTATATCTGGCACCCGGATCCAGGGACCTGAATACTGGGGCACAAAAGTCAGGCGCAGGGGTCACTTCGAGAAGTGCACCGTGCAACAAACTAAAGAAGTAAGGTAAGGAGTGGACTGTTGTAGGAACTGGGTGTAAAACATGGGATATTCAGGGTCTCAGGAAAGAGACCTCTACCCTCAAATGCTTAAAACTATGCTCAAAGCTCGAGGATGCTGTGTTAAGTGTAGTCAGATTCTTGATTTCTTAAGTTTTGTTAATGAAACTTGCCCTTGGTTTCGTGAAGAGGGAACTGACAACTTTTAAACATGGGAAAATGTCAGAAAGCAGTTGCGTGACCAATTCACAGCAGAAGGTCCAGAGGAGATTCCTATTCCTACACTATGGTCTTTAATTTGTGATTGCCTTGTCCAGCACAGGAGAGTTTAAGAATGTCTAAGCAGGGTGTAGCCACGGCTTTACAGCCTACAGTGGGGGGGTGTGAATCTCTAAAAATACCACTTCCCCCCTCTGTGCCTCTTCCGCCTCCGCTTGTCGCTCCTGCGACCGCAGGCAAGAGCCCACCTGAAAAAGTTCACCTCGTAATTATGAGCAGAGCTAGTGTTTGAGGCAGAGCGGGACAAGCGTCACTGTTAGCGGGATGACTCAGATGATAAGAAAGGTTTTGCTCGCAGCTGCCCAGCCTTTATGGCTGGATGCAGGTACTTGGCCGAAAGTGACTTCATATTTCATTTTGCTGGAGGCTCAAACTACTTGAACTGGGCTGAACCAAGTAGAAAGGAATAAAGGAATTTCTCAGCAACTGCCAATCATTCTTTATCTTAAAAAATCTTTTTCTTTCCCTCCCAGGCCACCAGAAACTCTTAGCTAGTTAAATTTCTTTCTATACGTCTGTATTGTTACTTTAATCTGCTTTTCTCTGACTTATGATTTTTTATTGTGCTGTGTTAAAAGTTTAAGATTCTAAGATTAACTTGAAAGTGTAAAATCTGTAAAAATTGCAACCCAGGGAAGTTTAAGCAAAGGCCAGTTAATTCCAAGCATGCCTGTAACGCATAAACACGCGCAGGCCAGCCCTGGGGATGTGAAGCATGTAAATGGATGATAACATGTGGCCGGTAACACAGGTTCTAAGAAAATTTCTAGACAGAAGGAAGTAACTAAAAAAGGCCTCAGCCCATTGACTAGATTTTTGGTAATCCTGTAAAATGGATGCCCACTCCTGGGAGTGTTATTAAAAGTCTCATTTTTGCCATGTTTTTATTTCCCTGTCCATCATTTGAAATTTGGATAGATGAGACATTTCTCACAATTTAGGGATTTGTATAGAATTTCTGTACTCATGACGAGATAAAGGCTAGATTAAGAGAAATGGCGTGCCCCACCTGATTTGGGGTGGCTCTTGAACTGAGTCCCATGTCTCTTCATGATGCTATAGAATAAACCCCAAGACTGTTTTTCTTTAAAAGATGGCAAAAATGACACAAGGCTGTATTTGGGCAACAAGACTAGTGTTTCCATAAAAAGGGTAGTTCTTGAATAATAATGGACTGCATTCCAAGGTTGCCTCACAGGTCCTGGGGCACTCCTGTTTTTATAAAGAAAAATAAAATAATACTTTAACATTAAAGCCACTGAAAGTCAGTAAGTTACCTCTGTTACAGAATTTGCCAAAGAAAATGCCTTGGGTAATAATAATTGACTTTAAAATCAAAGTTGTTATGGAAAAATATACATAACTAAAATGAAAGGTATATGGCAAATCTTTTTCAGTGGCAAATATATATGACTACACATAGTTTTCCAAAGTCCTTGGTAACTTAAGGACTTTGGAACAGGGCTAAATATCTAGGTATTTTAAAATGACAAGGCACTGAAACGTCAGTCTGAGTTTGCCTCATGTGAAGAATCTAGAGAATAGAATTGAATCTATTAATTGAGTGTGCCTTGTGTTTTGTTTGAAATATATCCTTAGAAATATATCCTGTGGATATGTTGCTAATTTGAGAAATGCTAGGTGATTGTCTTGCCGGCTAGAGTTTGAGGCTTCTGGAAGTTTGGAGCTCAGGTTAGGTTGGGAGAAATTGTATGGTTGTGATGGCAGAGTGCATGGAGTATGGAGGTTCATCTTTGAGAGGAATGGTTCTTGTGTTTTCTCTGGAGAGATTGCTGGTTTGGAGTGTATTGTGAGCCTTATGTGTAGTGCATGTGGTGGAATTTCAACCTAGGAAATAGTATTTTGTTGGCCTAATTAGAGGATAAGTATTAATTCTATGGTCTGAACCAAATTTTTAATGTTAAGACCAGTTTTAATTTAATTGATGTCTGAAATGTGTAATATAATCTTTGGGTTATGTATATTTGATAGACTTTCCAAGTTAAATTTCAAGACTTTAACCGAGAGATACCTTTGGGACATTTCAAGGGCCTTGAAATGATTCAAGGATGCATTCTCTCCTCCTAAAAGAAATATTTTTGAATTAAATTAGGCCGATCTAATATACTTGAAATCACGTGGGAAGCATTATCAAATAAAAATTAATAACTGTGTTCTGTTTAAATACATATAAGCAATTGGTTCTAACAAAGTCCACAGTAAAATTTGCAAAAAGAATATTGTTTAAAAGTAAATTTAAAAAGGAGAAATTTTAAAATCTCTTCCGCTACTATTTACAAAGTAAACTAAAAAGTTATTATTTGGGCATTAAAACTCACCATTAATGAGACACCATAAAGAAAAAGAAAGTTACCTTACTTGAGATGTATATATTGCAGTATTGGCCAGCATGTCTCTCTCCTAGTTTTTCTGAAAAAGTAACCAAGTTGGTTGTTCTGTTTAAAAGAAAGTAAAAGGTTTTAAAAGAAACCCCCTAAATGTGGCTTAGAGATTGCTCTAGGAAAAAATATAGTGGAAAATGCCCTTCAAATACCTAGGAACTGTACCTAAAAATCAATATATTAGGCCTCAGAAGGTAGAAATACGAAAGGATTATCTCAAGACCCTAAATGACTTTTAAAGGTTATTAGAGGACATTAATTAGTTAAGACCTTATCTAGAAATCTCTATGGGAGAAATGACAAATTTATTCAATATACTTAGGAATCCTAAGAAAGTTTTTATTCAGTGTATATAAAGACACTTAATTATTTTTTCTAATTTTGTGACTCGCATGTAACAGCAGTTTGCAACCATCTAAAATATGAATGCCAAGCAGTTTGGGGCCATCTAGCAAATCCTATCTTCCCTAAACCAAGGATCCTTAAAGGTGAATAGTTTACATTTTGCCTCCCTAACCAAAACTTACGTCTATATACTCAAAAAAGACTGATAGCAGAAATCCAATTGGTGTCATTTACTGTCCACACCTTAGGTCAAATAAAGTTCAAAGGAACTAATAGTGGAAGGTTACCAGAGGCTTAATATTGTCACCGAGGCTTGTCTCTCACCTGGAGATTACTCATGGAAGCATTTTTGTGCTGATATTGGACCAGCCTACGTTCGGGGAATGGTATTAGCTGCCACATCAAAGGGGATGTTATTCTTCAGGCATTCGCCATTTTTACAATTGGATCCAGTTCTGGAAAGGTTGGATCTACTGCAACAAACCCCTTATATTTCAGCACAATGAGTAGAAATATAAGCTCTTATTTATGCCTTGACTGATTTTGCTATGGAGCCCATCAACCTATAGTGATAGT